AAAGTGTATGGATTTAAACAGAAACACACTCACACACCGCGTCAGCCCACGGCTGTGAGTCATAGATTTGAAGTGGCCCACACTCCGACGCTGCCCGTCACAGTCCCTTTGACAAGGTTATGTCAACAAGAGAGTGTGTGCATAACTGTAATTGTGGGGGGGGAGGGGGGGGGACTACTGTGGGGACACTTTGTCCACAGGAGGACACTTTGCTCATATCAAATATTAAATTGGTATTTGCACTGGCAGTTTTAAAATAATGCTCAATAACATTCTCTACTTCACCAACAAACTGTAAATTACTTCTCAGACAGATAAATCCTTATTCAGTCTGACAGCGTCTCATCTGATCCATGTTGAATTGAAAATAACAAGTCGGGCTCTACATTTAAAATGCATGCAATTGTTTTTTTAACGATAAGAAAAAAAAACATAAGGTCACGTCTTTGGAGCACATGATCTGACACTTAAGGAGAGAAAAAAAAAATGTTGTTTAATATTTTGTTCGTTTGTCTGTTGACAATGAAGTTGAAATGAACATATTCTCACTCTGCCATACAAAACAAATAATGTGAGAAGAAATGAGAGCAGACTATTATCTGCTGCAGCGATGAGTCATCACAGGCTTTAACTGGCTGAAACAGCCACAGAGAGACGGTGAAAGAGGATAAACATTTTTGTTAATTATTATTATTATTATCGCCAGCTGCAGATTATTTTTTATAATTGTTGAAGAGAAAGATTTTAATTTAATCTGGAAGCTCATGTGTTTAAGTTATATAAAAATGATCAAAGACACAAAAGTTCCTCATCGTTAAGACGAACAAATAAGACAAAAAAAAAAAAATCTACATTGAAATGGTGCTTTTTATCTGGTGCCAAGACAAAACATTTTAAATCCAGTACCTTTGCAATAGTGAAGAAGATTAACGACCAAAATAAATCAAAATTAAATGAAAGAAAAAAAACACAACATTGTCTGAAAATGTGGCCCATCTTGACCAATAACTAGACCTTTGGAAACAAATGCTGCAAAAAAACAGAGATTTTTTAAAAAAATTTACTTTAAAACTTCATATTTTATTATCAGTAGTGAGAAATGATTAATATCTATAGAGGTGAAAAATGCTAGTATACAGTGTCGTAGTTCAGTTTAGAGTGGAGCAGCAGGTTGCTGTGCTAAGTAGCGGTAACAGGCTGACCACAGCATGAACTGTCCATCTCAGTTCTAACAAATGAAATTAAGTGCACAGGCAGACTGGTACAGTAGAGCGATGAGGCCCCGTCACAGAGCACTGATGCAAACAGGACACAAATAGAAGTCAATATGGAAGAGGCTAAAATATTATCTGATGTAATGAATAACAAAACAGATACAGTCATGAGGCTTTTTGATTCATTTGTAAACACAGCTGTTAGCCTGTCATATTGCACCAACTAAAGTGAAGGCAAAACATGCAGAAAATGTCAAAAACAAAACAACAAGGTCATCACTTTCTAAAATGTAAACATCCCTTTGTTGACCTTTCTTCTGCCTGAGGTCGTGTCATTTCTGGGAGGAAACGTTTCCCAGTAACAAAGAGACCCAGTTGGTCAGTGGTCTTAGTGAAACTGTAAGAGCTGTGGTTAAAAATTAGGCTTTTTTAGTTAGAATTAAATCATGTATTGCCACTTCACAAAATTTTGACTGTGTAATATTTAATTTAAATTGTTATTTTTTAAAGTATTGGTGCTTTATGAGAACTGCCAGTGAACTTGATCCTGTCCACACGCTGTATTTTTCATTCATTCAGTAATTCATTAGACGGATACAAAAAACAGCAACCTGGTGACAGAGACCCAAAAAAAGACATTTTGACGTCTACATGTATTTTGGAAAGGGCAAATGTCACTTTTTTTTTAAGCGCTGGTTAGACGTGTGTTTATCTCTTATGACTGTGGAGGGAAAAAACAAAACCATGTGAACTCCTGATCTTTCAAACACAAGCCAAAAAACAACTTGTCCAATTCTCAATTTGATTTGCACCGTCTGGAAGGGATTCAAAACACGAGGTTCGCAAAGAGAAACAAATGGTTTGTTACAACCAATTAGACGACTTAATCAAATATTTTCTTCTCTTGGATTCTGTCCACAGACGCAGCAGTGTGCCGATCAATCAGGCACAAATTGAGCCTTAAGTAAAACAAACAAAAAAAAAAAATCTCTTTAGTATTCTGTTTGACGGCTGTGTGCACGTAAGAGCAGTTTCCCATAGAAGTGCGTAAGTGTGTGGCAGTGACTCATCACAGTATTAGCACAACAACTGTGGGGGAGACGACTTCACCGTGATGTCAGTGTTGCCATGGAGACAATAGAGCAGGGGGCAGGGCTTAGATAAAGAGAAGAGGTGATGACAGAGGGAGATAGACAGACACGGCTGAGAGAGGCAGAAATCTGGGCTTGGGTTTTTTTATTTTGTTTTTATTTATTTATTTCAATGTGAGTTGTTCTTACCGTGGGAGCAAAACTCATCCCTTGAGCACAGTGTTGCCTCAAACAGACAACCTGGAAAAGAGAAAGTGAGAGATTTGAGTCAGATTGGTCGCAGGTGTTCCAGGTCAATTTCTTAGGGTAATTTTGACGGCAGTTTATGTGGAACACAACAGATAAGCGGCACCCAGAATTAGTATCAGCATCCTAGCTGCTGCACACCATTCATTTAAAACAACACAGATCACTGATGATGATGAACCATCGAACTGAAGAAGAAGAAGCCTGGGTTTATTATTCACGTACATATTTCAGATCTTCCTGACATTTCACACCATCCCCTATTTAGAAAACATTCAATGGTGGTTGAAGAAATATTCACACAAATCTTTAACTTTCATTTGTTCATTTATTTTTTCCCTTTTTTGTCCTTTTTACTGTTTTATGTCTTTGCAATGTCGGGCAAATCAACCTTTTCAACTCAAAGAGAGTTCTGTATCTGCCGTTCAGTTCTACTGACTGCAGGTGCAGCTGTGTTTGTGTGTGGTTCAAACCATAAGTGAGAATGACTTTTTCTATCTTTAAGTAAAGTGACTCATGACTTAAATGTGTTTTATGTGACTCATCCGAGTTGCAGCTTACATTAAAAAAAAAACCCCAAAAAAACTCACTGTCTCTTTTGCACACAGGTGCACTCTGGGTACTAAAATACATGGATAAAACAATCCCGAATGTTATAACCCACAGTCCAAGAGGGTTAAATTAGAATCTTGACTTGCTTTTGAAAGGAATGCTAACACATGCATAACTAGGCAAGAAAAAAAAATGTTAAGATGAGATGTAAGAGCATGATGAAACTCCCCAGTAACAAGTGAAGTAAGACTGTGACTCGTCCAGGTGAAACAGCTTTGTTATTTTCACCTTTGTTTCTTTTGTCAAAACCATTGTCAATGAGAAACAAAAGAAAGAAAGAAAAAAAAGAATCCGTCTCAGCAACAGATTGTCTGTTTGACAGACAGGAACGTTTTGTGCCTTGTGTGGACGGCTCACCAAACCGACAGATGTATGGATGACTGTGTAAAAGCCTTTAATGGAAGAGTCAAAGAAAGCAGGCTTCAGTGGTTTCTGTCCATGGTGCTGAAATCCCCGGTGGTTTATGGTTTCCTTTTCTTGTCATTGTGCTGTGCATTATTGATTGCTCTTTTTTGTACCATTGACACAGGCCGTCTCAAATAGGTTTAGCTTTTTTTTTTTTTTTTGCAATAGATTTATGGAACAACATATATCTTAGTCTATAAAAACCTGGTTTTACACAGATATCTCCTGATAGTCTGTCTCTCCTGCAAATGCTGTAGAGGTCTGCTAACGTGAGCACCTGCTCGTATTTTCCCTCATACTTTCATGTCTCTTATATGTATTTGTATTAAAGCAGGAACAAATATTTATATATTAAAAAAGAGAATGTACATATAGTTACAAAGCAATGAGTTTATTATGACATCACAGAATATCAGGAGGTAAGAATGACATGTGGGCCACTGCCATGTTTCACGAGGTCATATGTTTATATATTTAAATAAATACATTTGTCGCATTATTGTGCAGTTGACCAGTGATGGCAGTTTAATCAGCCTTGTGAAGACCTTTACTCCAGCTACAGCTATAATCCAGATCTGATAATCATTGATGACTGCTATCACTGCCACTGTCACTGCCATCAGTTCTGTGGCCTGAACTACACTGTCAGAGCGTAAGTAAACATTAAAATACAACAAATAAAATACTAAAGCCAATGACAATGCCTTTGTTTTTTCAAATATTTGCTAATATCTACTCATTTTAATTTCAGGTATTTTTAATGTAATTTTTATTTTTCCAAAAATGTCTTGGACCATTTGTGGGAAGCTTGTTTGGCATAAAAATGTGAACAATATGTAGTCATTTATGTGTTCAATGAAAAATCCAAACAGTCATTGAACATAACTTTTCCTACTCTTTATTTTATTTTTATTTTCCTCCACTTTACCGACTGTTTACTGTCATTTGTGACCATCACCGTCATACAGCCGGGTTCTTCATGACAAGTATTGACTGAGTTCATATCTTTAATGCAAATCAACACGTCGATCTTTTAAATCACAGCAGGCTGAAATGGTTGTGAGTGGACCGCAGGAAATCGAGACTGAAAAATACCGAGGTAGTGCCCGTGGACACGGCTTCAGAGTCATCTTACCGTATTTGTCTGAGCTGCCGGGCTGCCACAGCACGGTGAAGAGGAGCAGAGCTCTCCACGGTTGAAGGTGTTGCATGATCCTCTCCGGTCTCGGTGCAGGAGATGCAGAGACAGAGATGCGGACTTCCTTTGCCTTTGGCCCCCTCCCCTTCTTTTTCAGCCCTATATATATATATATATATATATATTAATTCCCCATTTTCTTCAGCAGCAGCCAGTAGTAAGAGCTCACACTCCACCGGAAAAACCCCAGAGACTGGGGAAAATATAAAAACAAATGGTTGGAAGAAGTCATTTCTTACGCTGAGAGGGCGGGGCGAGGTAGGGATGGAGGAAGAGGAGGCAAAGGGAGAGAGAGTGAAGGAGGAAAGGGGGGAGGGAGGGTGGGAGGGAAGCTGAGCCTGTGT